TTAATACGTTAGTACGAATTTGCGTACGCCGCGAAGCGCGAATAATCGCAATTGCAGTATTCGAGTGTGAGTGCGTAAAAGCGTGTGTGTGAAGAGAGCGAGTGAACATTTGAATAAACATTATAATTGATTAAATCTCAACCCGATTTCATTATTTGCGCTCCCACACGAACATCATGTGCGCTCGCATTCTATTTACGATTCATTCGTTAAGTCGAGGACTTCGTTGGTGGCTGTGCACCTGAAGGAAGAAAGGACATCCAATGGGCAGTCTACCTGAAAGAGAATATTCTTCCCTGTTGAAGGAAGAACAGGGTGGCGACCGTTTAATAAGTCAATATTACCTATAAAAGAAAAGTAAAAGACGTTTTGCAATTAAGCATTAATAGTAGAGTCGGTTACGCGATAGTAATTGCTAAAGAATTTAACGCGGCACTCACGGCATTTACAAGGACCGTGCAGGCGCATTGCACTTTGCGCTGACGAAAGGGGTCTTCGGAAGTCCGATGGTCATATTTGATTATTCTAACGATAAATATGATTATGTAAAATTCATAAAATTCGGTCGAAGATTCCGGTTACACAACATCTTCGACATTTATGTTTCTAGCGTTTATAGAGCAATTGTTATTGATTTCACGTTCTATCCAGCATCAAATTTACAATCATCTACACTTTGTAAAGCAATATCAATAAATTTCCAATCTGAATAACTTTTAATTTTCATGCCTAATTCTTCAGTACTTTTAATAGCATCCTTCAAACCTTCCTCAATAATTTATTTGATTTTTAAATTTTCTATGACTTCGTATGTTAGGACATTTTGTGTTTTTAACATTTTTTTTATCTTCTCTGGGAAATCTAAATACATCTGAAAGATCATTCATTAGAGAATTTATCTGTTTGATCTTATGAATATGATAAATTAAATCCTTAATACTAAAATTAATAATTGTAGAATAAGTTAAAGTCATAGATCGAGCTGTTTGAAAAAGTTTTTCACAAATTTGACTACTAAACATAGGAGGAAACATTTCAGAGATCTTGCATTTATGTTTGTCATCTGTAAAATATTTTTCATATAAATAAATGATTAGATATTGCAAATATAAGTATGAGATAATGTTTAAAACAAACCTCTTTCTGATTTTAAATAATATTCTTCCAAATCTTTGAATATATCTGTCCAGATATCAGTAGAGAATTCTGAATGCGCCGGTCTATATCGTTTTTTGAAATACTGGTGTGAAATATGAGGTAATATATATCATATTGTCTATACTTTCTGTTGAGAATGCATGGTCTATGGATAGTTTAACTCTCTCCTATTAGAGCCTTGTCTGTTACGTGTAACAGGTAGCACAATGGGGTCTCAGCCTTTGCCTGTAACCTTCCTCCCCCGCATTCTGTGTTTTTGCTTTTTGGCCTGCGGACCAGTTAGTTGACCTGAGACCAGCGTGAGTGAGAGACGTATGAAAGTTCGTGTGCTAACATATAACCTTTATTCAATAAAGTTTCATTGACAACAGCAACGTTCGTGTGAATTTTGTTGAATAAACCCCAACAGGTTAAGGGCCCAGGCCGCGAGAGTGCGTAAATTCTCGTGAACTTTTGCGTTTTCAAGCTGTGTTTAAAATAAAAAAAACGTTTTTCTTTTAAGTGTTGTTAAAACGAAAAACGTGGTCAAGCTCAAGATGGGTAGTGAAGAGATCGCACTGCGCAACATCGTGAAGTTCAACGGTACGAATTTTCAGCCGTGGAAATTCCAAATGAAATCGTTGTTCGATTACAACGAGTTATCGGGTATCGTCGAGGGAAGTGAGATGCTTCCTGAAGAAGTTGCAGGCGAGAATGCGGCGGCGTGAAATACCGAGCGTGCAAAATGGAGGAAGAAGGACGCGAAGGCACGGTTCCTCATAATTACGGCGTGTGATGAGATGCAACTGGAATATCTCACAGTGTGTGATACTGCCTGTGAAATGTGGAAAAAGTTATCAATGATCCACGAGCAGCGATCATCAACGAACAAGGTATCGTTGCTAGAGGACTTTCATGGATACGTGATGGATCCGGGAAGCACAATGGCGCAGCACGTGGCACGTGTGCAAAATCGCGCCTTTCGGTTACGTGATATTGGGAAGGAGATCGACGATGATACGATCATTGCCAAAATTACATCGACGCTGCCTTCGAAATATCGTGCTTTGAAGACTACGTGGGCTAATGTTCCGGAGAGTGCACAGACTATCTCAAATTTACTTGACAAATTATTGCAAGAAGAAAAGAATATACTCAAGGAGGAACAAATTAGTCAAGAGCTCTCAGCTATGGTGGTCAATCCAACGAAGGGTACGAAAGGGAACAAAAGCAAGCAGTTCAAGAAGCCCCAAAAAGGAGGGAACGTCACGTGTTTCCGATGCTCGGAAAAGGGACACTTTGCGTGGGAATGCCCGACGAAATCAAAGAAGAAGCCAAGTGAAAAAGGCGGTGCTTCAGGTAGTGCGTCGAGTGGTTCCGGCGCAGCGTGCGCGTTCGCGTTTCCGGCCATGTTTGAGCATAAGAACGTGGCGCCGGAAGACATGTGGTTTCTGGACAGTGGCGCGTCACTCCATTCCACGTTTCGTCGAGAATGGATAAGGGACTATAAAGAAGGCGCGCCTATGAACATAAAAGTGGGCAATGATGAAGTGTGTCCTGCGAAAGGATACGGGTATGTCGAAATAATAAAATACGTTGACGGAAAATGTGAAAAGGCTCGCATCGACAATGTGTTTTTTGTGCCAACCTTGCGTAGGAATCTTTTGTCTGCGGGACTCTTAACGGACAAGAATGTGCGCGTGAATCTCTCGAATGGGAAAGCGGAACTCGTGCACAATGGCATCAAGGTAGCTGAAGGTGTAAAAACGTCGAATAATGTATATCGACTAGCGTTCAAAACTATATCTTGCTACGAGACGAATGTCGCGGAGTGTGATTCAGACTTAAAGACATTGCACGAGAGACTCGGGCATGTGAACATTAGAACTATTGAGAGGATGGTTAAACATAAATTACTACCGCCAGTGAATCAAGGGGAAATAAAGTCATTCTTCTGTGAGCCATGTCAAATGGGAAAGATGCATCGAAAATCATACAAGCCGACCAAGGATGAACGTGATACCAAGCCAGGTGAGGTCGTTCACAGTGATGTGGTGGGACCAATGGAAGTTGAGTCAATTGGTCGATCACGTTGGTATGTGAATTTCAAGGATGATGCTACTGACTTTCGCGTAATTTGTTTTATGCAACATAAATCTGACGTATTTGAAAAATTTAAAATATTTGAAGCTGCGGTGCGAAATCGCTTCGGGAGATCGATTAAAGTACTTCGAACGGACCGAGGTCGTGAATACGTCAATAGTGAAATGAAAAGATACTTGGAGGAGAAAGGTATTGAGCATGAAACGACAGCACCGTTTACTCCTGAGCAAAATGGCAAGGCGGAGCGTGATAATCGAACGATTGTCGAATGCGCGCGTACTCTTCTCCATGCGAAAAATTTACCGAAGATCCTGTGGGCGGAAGCAACGGCTTATGCAGTATACACTCTTAATCGTATTGTTAACCGCAAGGATAGAGATGTATCACCGTACGAGATGTGGACTGGGAAGACACCGGATTTGTCGAAATTAAAAACGTTCGGCTCCGATGCATACATACATGTTCCAAGTCTATTTCGTAAGAAATTCGACTCAAAAGCTCAGAAAGGGATTTTCATTGGCTTTCAAGGCGAATCATGGAACGCAAGAGTGTATCTGCCAGCGACGAGAACTATCAAGGAATCGAAGGACGTGACGATACACGAGAAAGAAATTCCAATGGACTACAAGAAGGCGGAAGTGGATATAGAAATTCCAATTGGAGAGGAGATTGCTCCTAAACGAGAAACTCAGGCAGCATCTGTGTCAAATGAACTCCCCGTGGTCGGAGACGAACAGGCCAGGAACGAATCCTTGACCGAAGAAGTAGCGAGTGAAGGTGTGAGGCGTTCGCAACGCGAACGCAGAAAACCAGATCGCTATGAGGCATGTTGGGCAGCGATTGAAGAGCCAATAACGTTCGTCGAAGCTGTGACAGGGCTGGACCGCGTGAAATGGGAAAGAGCAATAGAAGAAGAATTGCATGCACATGATGAAAATGGTACATGGAAGGTCGTGAAGAACACTGGGCAGAAGACCATCACTTCCAAGTGGGTGTTCAAGGTCCAAGATTTAAAAGACGGACAACGTTACAAGGCACGTCTTGTTGCACGAGGTTTTATGCAGACACCGGGAGTGGACTACAATGAGACGTTTTCACCGGTGGTACGCTATGATTCGTTGAGAGTGCTGTTGGCGATGGCGGCACAACACGATCTCGAATTAGTACAATTCGACGTGAAAACAGCCTTTTTAAATGGAAGATTGGAGGAGGATATCTACATGAAGATTCCAGATGGTCTCAAGATCGAAGACAACGAAAAGGAGGACCGTATTCTGAAATTGGAGAAGTCACTCTATG